GTTTTTGAAGGAATGAGATCCAAGTAAAGATTAGCTGTGGTGGAATATGTAGAGGGATCAGAAGAACTGAATAAAGGAAATAAAAAAGAACCCTAATTTTCTAATAGGGTGGCAAGAAAGAACAGAAAAGAGATAGAATGCAGCTCTAGCCAGCCAAAAGTTCATGGGCTGCAGATACATCCTTTAAAGGAAGAATCTGTGGTATAGGCCAAGGACATGGAATAAAGAGGAAACCGAATTCCAACTGCAGAGGCTGCGGGACGGCAGCAGTGGAGGTGACAGTGACGACCATATTAACCAGACTCCAGACCTGGGACACTAGTAGGCCAAGCAAGAACCTCCCTCTGGCTGTGCATAAGCTTCGGCTGCAGCCAGGGGTCTGTGGTGGGTCTTGTGGCCAGAGATCTGACCCTTGAGCTCAGAGCCAGGGAACCTACGGAAACGACGGACGCAGGGTGCAGAAAGAATCGGATGTCGTGAAATCATGCCTGTTGAATCTTCAGCTCCGTGAAGTGGCGTATCTGTGAATGCTTTTAGAGTAGAAAGTTTGGTTTGATTGGCCTAATTGTGATGCATGGCAGGGAAAAGGTTAAGACAAGAGACACTCCCAGGGAAGAAGTAGGACAGTGAGGGAAATGTGGACACAAGGGGCATAGAAAAGCAACCGAGTTCATTAAGGTAGTGCTCTTCAGTAAAGAAATCCCTCCCGGCCCCCTTGCAGCAGAGACAGGGCCCTATTGTTTTTGGTCAGCCAATACCAATACCACATGCCCTCAGCCTTAGTCAGAATTACGTCCATCAGTCAGTGTTCAGCCTTCCCCAGTGAGAGTTCCCAGGGAGAAATAAGCCCTCCTGCTTTAAGACATCCATTGGAATGCATTGACTCCCCTCCTGGCCACTGAGAGGGTATATAGGAAGGTTACGGTCACACAGATCATTTTCTGTGTTCTGTAGTTGAGATAGAGAACCCTGGTTGAGAAAGACTGGTAGTGCAATGACCCAGAACTGGCCTTCCAACATAAAATTAGCATGCACTTCAGCAACCTGGGGTTTTGCCTGAAGGAGATAGCAGGAAGCAGTTGTAATAAAAGGGCCCTTGGAATTAGGATGTACAAAACAAGATCTTATCCCCACCTGCACACCGCCCCCCAGCTCTGCCGCGTTGGGACAGTTTAGAGTTCCACCAGAACTCTAAACAAGATGCCTACCTGGGTTGCATCTTGTATTAATAAGCCAAATTTATATTGTCAAAGACTCCTCTCTGTCCAAATTTCTAGTATTTGGTTTATGAAATAGGTTAAAGTCGTCCGGGCGTTAAATTAGTTTCTATGGAGAAAATTTTGGTTTTGCTTTCCTACCTCTCATGAGATTACTCTCCATGAAAATAACGCAGTGGAATTGAAAACTCTTGGCTCATCTTCATTTCATAACATGGCCACATGTGTGGCATACATGCATTGAATGATTTGAGTGAGTCAATGAGTTAATTAAGCATACAGTGAAGTTTGTCAAATATCTCGACACTCTGTTGGTCTTTTCCCGTTAATTCTTTTTTTTTTTTTTTTTTTTTTGAGACAGAGTTCCATTCTTGTTGCCCAGGCTGGCATGGCACAATTTTGGCTCACTGCAACCTCCGCCTCCCGGGTTCAAGCGATTCTCCTGCCTCAGCCTCCCGAGTAGCTGGGACTACAGGTGCACACCACCACGCCCAGCTAATTTTTCTGTTTTTAGTAGAGACAGGGTTTCACCATGTTGCCCAGGCTGGTAGAACTCCTGACCTCAGATGGTCCCCTGTTCATTCTTAAGGTGATCAGGTAGGAATGGCTGCCTACCATCTTACAGCTGAGGAAACAGGCTCATAACATTTAAGCGACTCAACCAGGAACACAAAGTGGATAGTGACAAGGTCATGTGGAGAACCCAGGTCTTCTGATCCCCATGCACACCCCTTAAAGGGCATCTGGAAGGATGATGGCCAGTCACATGGTGTGACACAAAATAAGTCAATCAGTTGTGTTTTCATGAGCACCTATTATATAGCACTGTGTTCAGTGATATGGCTGTCCAAGAAAAGATGCTTTGTTTTCTGTTTGTTTTTTAATCAAGAAGCTTATAGCTTAATTGGAGGGATTAAACTGCTACACCTAGAAACAAGTCCTGGCATGACTCTTAAGTTTAACGGAAGGTGTGTGAAGGGAAAGAAGAGACTTCTGGAAGGTACCAAAAAGTTCCTCAGGAAGAACTGAAACTGAACATCGTGCGGAGATAGCACTGGGTAAATCCAGAGGCAACGAGAGTAAAGGTCTACCCAGGAAGGGGATTATGGCCAAGGACCGTTTGGGTGGAGGCAGAATGTACCAGTCCTGTCTCTATCTAGAGATGTGAAGCTGAATGTGAAGTCTGATAAGCTCAGCATAGATAAGGCCTGGGGATTTGGGACCAATCCAGTGAAAAATGGAATGGACAAGGTCTGAAGGGACATTTGGTCCCCACAAGCCACCCTAACAACACAATCACTACCTGCGATGCTAAGGTGAACACTGTCTAACAGAAGACTCTGACTGATGCAGTACCTCCCACGGACGGTCAGCGTCCAAGCTGGACACAGTGCAGTCTAAGGCTCTTGACTAAAGCAGAAGCCCGGGTGAGCTGTTGGGGGACTGCTAATAGAAGTGGAGGTAGGGCGGGGGGCGGTGGCTCACAACTGTATTCCCAGCACTTTGGGAGGCTGAGGTGGGCGGTTCAGGACCAGCCTGACCAACATGGTGAAACCCAGTCTCTACTAAAAATACAAAAAAAAAAAAAAAATTAGCCAGTCGTGGTGGTGTGTGCCTCTAATCCCAGCTACTCAGGAGGCTGAGGCAAGAGAATTGCTTGAACCCAGGAGGCGGAGGTTGCGGTGAGCCGAGATCACACCATTGCACTCCAGCCTGGACAACAGAGGGAGACTCCATCTCAAAAAAAAAAAAGAAAAAGAAGAAGAAAAAGTGGAGGTAGAACTGGTAGGCTGGGTGCAGTGGCTCACGGCTGTAATCCCAGAACTTTGGGAGGCCAAGGCAGAAGGATCAATTTGAGGTCAGGAGTTCGAGACCAGCCTGGCCAATATAGTAAAACCCTGTCTCTACTAAAAACACAACATTTACCCAGGTGTGGTAGTACAATACCACCCTGTAATCTCAGCTACTTGGGAGGCTGAGGCAGGAGAATCACTTGAATCCAGGAGGCAGAGGTTGCAGGGAGCTGAGATCGTGCCACTGTACTCCAGCCTGGGTGACAGAGTAAGACATTGTCTCAGAAAAGAAAAAAAAAGTGGAGGTAGAACTGAATTCTGAGGACGTTTAGAATTTGAATAAGAGGAGAACATTGCAGATGAGAAAAGCAACATGCACAGTAGTGTGGAGTAAGGAGAGTGTTGCCGTGGTATGCACAAATGACAGGGAAGAGTCAGACCTACAAGAAGAGGATGTTATGAACTGAACACAGAAAACCATGAGGGGGTAAGGGAGAGCACCTCTGGGGCTTGGGAGCAGGTAGAATTCGGATTCCATGTGATAGGCAAGTTGGTTCTTGAGGAAAGAAGTGGGATGATGAAATAAGTCAGGCAGCAGGCTGTAAATTGGATTGGACGGAGGGAAAGATTAGCGGCAGAGAAACTAGCCAGGAGACCACTTCCGTAGTCTGGCCCAGGTCAAGTAGTGGCATTGAGAATAAAGAAGGAAAAGTGACTATGAGGTACATCCTAAAAGGAAGGCAGAAACTTAAGAAATAAAGGCAGATGTGATAAGCAAAGATGACTCTTGAGCATCCTAATTTTGGAGATGAAAAAATCGTGGTTCTGCCTGGGATAAAGGGGGTGATCTAGAAAGGAGCCCCATTTTGTGGGGGTGGAAGGACATGATGACTTCACTTTGAGGCATCCAATTAGAGATACTTAAGTCAATGAGAATATGGTCCTAGGACCCACGGAGAGATCAGGCCTGGGAGTGCATCCGGCCAGTGGTAAGTGTCTGGCAGTGAATGAGTTCACCATGGAGGTGGACCAGGGTACAGATGAGGGAGGGAAAGAAGGAAGAGGAGAGAGAAGAGTGATGGAGAAATGAGCAGAGACCAGCAAAACACATTAGCAACACTAAGGGGACTTGGAAAGTGAGTTAAGGTCAACAGGGTCAATTATCAAAGAGAAGCAGGCTGAGGATGGGAACCACGGGAAGGCCCATGGGTCTCAAAAGCAGCTTGGCGGTGACGCGCGAGGGTGGCCTCTCCAGCTTCCCTGGCACGACCCTCCTCACCCTTGGTTAAATCATCATCAGATTATCATGTAAGCCTCCTGACTCGCCTCCCCACCCCAGCCTTCTTGACCCTAATTCATTCTCCAGTTGCCCATCACAAGAGTGCCCTTCCTTTAAAATCATAACCACGCCGGGCGCGGTGGCTCACGCCTGTAATCCCAGCACTTTGGGAGGCCGAAGCGGGTGGATCACGAGGTCAAGAGATCGAGACCATCCTGGTCAACAAGGTGAAACCTCGTCTCTACTAAAAATACAAAAATTAGCTGGGCATGATGGTGCATGCCTGTAGTCCCAGCTACTCGGGAGGCTGAGGCCGGAGAATTGCTTGAACCCAGGAGGCGGAGGTTGCGGTGAGCCGAGATCGTGCCATTGCACTCCAGCCTGGGCAACAACAGCAAAACTCCATCTCAAAAATAAAATAAAATAAAATCATAACCACAATCAACAGTCATGTTTCCAAAATACAAATATAACCATACATCTTCACTTGGATTTGTGGGTTGCTTAGGAAATGAAGGAGGGGTGTGTGGACCCTGCACTTGCACGTCCATCAGTGCAGGGCGGGGAGCAGGGAGGAGCATCACTACCTTAAAGGAAGAAGGAGAGAAAAGGAGAAAAAAAGAAAAGGAAGTGAGCATGGCAGAAGCAAGAGCAAAGAAGACCCTGAGGCGTGGGATAAGCGGAGACTCCAGAGGAAGACAGGGTTCCCACCGCCTTCTGTCTGCAGCCACCTGCACACCTGCAGGCAGCAGCCTCCTTGCCCGGTGGGAGCCTCTTGCACAGGGCCTCCCCATTCACTCTTACACCTTTGTCCCAAAAGGAAGACTGCCATTTCTGTGTTTCTCATAACTTGCTTCACTTGTTCTGAATTTGCGTGCCTGCTCAATCTGTCCCTGAGCTATTTCCTGGTTTATATTTGTCGTGACTGTGGTCCCTTCACTGACTGCGGTCCTTGTCAACTCTGCACCTTAAGGGCACTCAGAATTCAGAAACTGGCTCATCAGTACCTCAGCTCCAAGCTGGGGACCCTAATTCTTAGAGACACTGCCTTTTTTTTTTATATGGAGTCTTGCTCTGTCACCCAGGCTGGAGTGCAGTGGGGCAATCTCAGCTCCCTGCAACCTCCACCTCCTGGATTCAAGCGATTCTCGTGCCTCAGCCTCCTGAGTAGCTGGGATTACAGGCGCCCACCACCACACCCGACTAAGACTCACTTTCTTACCCAAGTGAATTCCCTCCATCGTCAGAGCAGCTCTTCATGTGATTAGCTATTTTCTATTGCTCTTTGTCGCCTGTGAATGTGTAATTGCATGGGATCGGGAGGAAAGCAGTGACGGAATCCTAGAATCGTGTGTTGGCAAGGACTTTAGAAATCACCCTATTCAACCTCCCACTCACAGGAATCCCTTCAACAGCTTTTATTTAACTTATTTATAGCTTTTCTCTTGATTTAAACTGTTCCCAAAAATAAATATTGGGTGGGTGATCCAAGGGGATGTTTGAGAGTTTATATTACCAGGAATATCACAATGAACAAGCCTTCTTAAACACTCAGAATTTGGCTGGACCCGTGAGCATCCGTGTTGCACTGGGTCCTTCCTGTCTAAGTTTTGTTCTCTTGCTACTGACTGCCCCCCTCCCATGGAGACGGCACTCGGAGTTTTCACAGGGGTTCAGCGAAGCCCCAAGTCCATAGCAGATCACCATAAGGACTCCATGCTTCCTAAATGCATTAAGCAGTTCCAAAAATGTGTTTTTTGGTTTGGGGTTTTTTTGTTGGCTTTTTGTTTTTCTTTTTGTTTTTTTTTTTTTTTTGAGATAGGGCCTTGCTCTGTCATCCAGGGTGGAGTACAGTGGCATGATCATGAGTCACTGCAGCCTGAACCTCCCAGGCTCAAGAGATCCTCCAGGCTCACCCTCCCGAGTAGCTGGGACTGTAGGTGTGCTCCCTACACCTGACTAATGTTTGCTTTTTTCGGAGAGACAAAATGTCACTGTGTTGCTCATGCTGGTCTCGAGTTCCCGGGCTCAAGAGATCCTTTTCCCTCAGCTTCCCAAAGTGCTGGGATTTACAGGCATGAGCCGCTGTGCCTAACCTCAGATATGTGTTTTTAATGATATTTAAGCGCCTCACTTGTGTAGCAGCAACTTTTACATGTATCTCATGCTGTTAAACCTTTAGGAACAGGGGCCCACCAGCCCCTGTGTCATTGAGGCCATTTTGCTGCTTTATCATTCATCAAGCTGGGCTGCACATACACAAAACTGTCTCTGCAGTAAAGAAACAGTCTTGGCCGGACACAGTAGTTCATGCCTGTAATCCTAGCACTTTGTTGGATAACTTGAGGTCAGAAGTTCGAGACCAGCCAGGCCAACATGGTAAAATCTCGTCTCTACTAAAAGTACAAAAATTACCTAGGCATGTTGGTGAGCACCTATAGTCCCAGCTACTTGGGAGACTGAGGCAGAAGAATTGCTTGAACCCAGCAGGCAGAGGTTGCAGTCAGCTGAGATCGCACCACTGCACCCCAGCTTGGGCCACAGAATGAGACTCTATCTCAAAAAAAAAAGGAACACTCAAGCCGGCCAGAGGAACATGTTTTTGCTACCCCCACCTTTGGAAAGAGAAACGCATTGTACACGTGGACAGGCTTCACTAATGCAACATAAAACCTGGCAATTTTCGTCACTGCAGGTCAGGTAATCCCAGGCTGTGCTTCTTGAAGCAGTAGAAGCTGATTTCCTTGGCTCACTTATCACCTGTGCCTTTCAATGGCCTGTCTCTAACAGGAGGCAGAAGCCTCCTTGCAGAGGTCCGTGGGTCAGACTTTCACTATACAAGGTGGCAGTGTGGGAGGTGTGATTTGTCCCATAAGATCTCTAAATCCACCACCCATTCTGTAACACTTGATACTCCTCAGCACTGCATTTTCCAGTTACTCGTGTTTAGAGACAAATGCCCCTTTGTCTGTAGTTGCCATCTGAAGAAATCAAAGAGCAGCTGTTGTCTTGCCTCAGCACCGTGGCATCGGAGGTCCGGAGTTAGCATCAAGGATGACAGTGATGCTGTTTCCGCCCTGGTGTCACTTGCCCCTTGCTCCCACTGCCCTAGCCCTCATGTTACTTCCTTGTTCTCCTGAACAGTCTCTTTTTATGAGACAGAGTCTTGCTCTGTTGCCCAGGCTGAAGTGCAGTGGTGCAATCTTGGCTCACTGCAACCTCCACCTCCCGTGTTCAAGCGATTCTCCTGCTTCAGCCTCCTGAATAGCTAGGATTACAGGCACCCACCACCACACCTGGCTAATTTTTGTACTTTTTTTAGCAGAGGTGGAGTTTCACCATGTTGGCCAGGCTGATCTCGAACTCCTGACCTCAAATGATCCACTCACCTCAGCCTCCCAAAATGCTGGGATTACAGGCATGAGCCACCACGCCCGGTCGTGAACCATCTTCTTTGTTTTCCTGCCTCTGCACCTCTGAAGTCGACTGTTCCCTAACAACTCTATTTAAATTCTGCCTCCTCGAATTCTCTCCTGTTCTCCTCAGCCTGGAGTGGAGTCCACTGGGGTCTACTAGAGTTCAAGTTCCATGAGGGCAGAGACTGTCTTTTTTTGTTCACTGCCAAATACTTAGCGCCCAGCACATAATAGATGCTTAATAAATGTTTATTGAGTGAGAGAGATTCCTCCCTCTAAACGTAACGGAGCTGGCATCTGACATTCATGACTTCTGTCAGTATTCTTTTTTCTATACACGCGGACAAGATGATAAGCTTCTTGAGAACAGAAACCATGACTGTGTATCACCCTCTAGCAGAGTCTTGAACACTCTGGGAGCTCAATAAATATTGGTGACTGAGCTTACTACATAATCACTCAATAATGCAATCATGTTCCCGGAGCTCAGGGGAAGGGGGAGGCAGGCAGAATGCCTTCCTCCTCCTGTCTGATATAAAGCCACCTTTGAGCAGCATCTTACGCAAACACAAGGCCCCATTCTCCCCCCACCCAGCACTTGCCCACCTAGGAAGGATATTCTTGAGACCGAGGCTGTTGACATCACATTCCTTTTCAAAAAATGTGCAGAGAACTATAGAATTGTTCCAGAAGCAGTGATCCAGTGCTCGGCTAGTTAATTCCTGAGTAAGCCACTCTGAAAACTGATTATAATCCTGTTTCAAATGGAGAATTGGGAGAAGGCCAATAAAGGGTATATTATTGTATCTTGTAGGAGGGAAGAATCCGGCAGATATTCATTGAGTTATGGCGCCAGAGCCTTCCTCTCTAATGTTATTGTAAATAATTGTTAGAGGAGAAAGCCAGATCAGCAAAGCGAGACTCCAGTGTTGCACTTCCTCTCCACGGAGGTCTTATGTAACGAAGACCTTCATAAACAAACACTGCAGAAACTTAACATAGGATCTGTCGTATTAAAGTTCCCGCTGTTTCATGTGAAGTGGAAGAATCATTTTACATTCCTTATGAGTTCTAAGAAGTCCCTTCTGGGACAGCTGTCTACGAAACCTTTTTTGTTTATTTAATAAAAGAAAGCAAGTCGTATACCCCTCCACAGTGCCCCGACTATAGCGCTGAGAACTAATGTCGTGTAAGTACTCCATTTGCCCCCCTCCAGCTCGCCTCTCTCCTGAGAGTCACGAACTCATGAAGTGCGTACAGGGCCAGGCAGGCAGTCAGGGGCTGGTGAGGTCTGCAGCTGGTGACACACACGTGCCGAGGGCAGCATTATCCAGCCCCGGGTCACTGTGGCCGTGAACTGACAAGTGACCCAGAGTTGCCAGAGCTTCCAATTTCCAGCAGGAAATCCAAACTTTCAGGAAGTATCACCTGAGTTCTCAATAGCTAGTTGAAAAAACATAGTATCTATCCAGGCCAAAGAGGGTCTGTCTCTGTGCTGGGTTCATCCTTTGGGATAGCAGTTTGCAAACCTCACGCCATCTGTTCGGTCTTGCCTGCATTTGGGTGCTTGGAGGCCTCCTCAGGCCTCGTTTTCCTTGTGCCTCCTACCTGTTGAGAAAGTGCTTTGTTGGTTCTCATCAGGGCAGGGCAGGGGCTGGATGGAGGAGCCAGCGCCATGTCGGGTATCAGGCGGGGCTCACCTAAGCCATGTCAGAAGCACAAGTCCAGAGTTCTGCGTGCTCCCTTCCCTCTTAGAGCCACCCAATCAATATCTGTCACTGCGTAACAAAGTACCTCAAAATTCCGTGGCTGGCACAATAAACTTTATCTCACAGTTACTGTGCTCCAGGAATTTGGGAGCAACGTGACCGGACGATTCCCACTCCAGTTCTGTCATGAGGTGGCAGCGAGCTCTCAGCCCAGGCTGCAGTCACCGGAGGGGGTGCCTGGGGCTGGAGGGTCCTCTTCCCAGGTGGGGCACCCTTGTAGCTGGCAAGCCAGCACTGGCTGTTGGCCTTGGTTCCATCCACATGGATTTCTCCACAAGGCCATTGAGTGTCCTTTTCCGGAGTGAGTGATTCAAGACAGGGCAAAGCAGAAGCCACATGTCTTTTATGGCCTAGTCTCAAAAGCCCCACGTTGTCATTTCTGCACTGTCTTATTGGTTACACAGGTTTTCCCTACCCACTGTGGGAGGGGACCATACCAGGGCCTTGACTTCCAGGAGGACAGGGTCCTCGGGGGCCATCTTAAGGGCTGACTGTCATAGCTATGATCACAACCCTAGTCAGTCCCTTATAAACTAATGGTCCAACCCTGAGAGTACTTTTAAAAAAAACCCAAGGGAATAAAATATATGTCATGGTGATTTGCACCTAATATTCAGCCCACTTACTACTGTGTTCCTGAGATCAGCCTCAGAAATTAAATATCTTTTTTTTTTTTTAAAGACAGAGTCTCATTCTGTTGCCCAGGTTGGAATGCAGTAGCATGATCTTGGCCCACTGCAACCTCTGCCTCCCAGGTTCAAGTGATTCTCCTGCCTCAGCCTCCTGAATAGCGGGGAGTACCAGTGCCCGCCACCACGCCTGGCTAATTCTTGTATTTTTAGTAGAAACGGGGTTTCACCATGTTGGTCAGGCTGGTCTCGAACTCCTGACCCTCAGGTGATCCACCCACCTCGGCCTCCGAAAGTGCTGGGATTACAGGTGTAAGCCACCATACCCAGCCTAAATATCCTATTTTTATACCCCATCTAAAATCACTTTTTAAACATAAATTTTCAAATCCTACC